CATAAATTACAGCGTAAAAAATAATAACTAAAATAATTAAATGTAACAAAATAATTATTGTGTTACTGAATTTACTGAATGTGCTGAATTATATTTTAATGTCTAATAAAAAAATTTTTTTAACATAAACTTTTATAAAATTTAATAATGATTCATGTATAAATAAAATTAATAAATTAATAAATAAAAAATATATAAATAAAATATTCAGATACTGTCATTATATATTTACTTTGTGACAAAGTAATAACAACATAGATTTAATCTCATTTTTAATATGAGTTAACAAGATTCTGTAAAGCACACGGTCTTGAACTTGTATAGATTGTAAATAAAAATTCTAGTTGAATCTCATTTGTCAGAATAAAAAGGTACATACATTCAAGTGAGTTATGACATCAGAAAAATGAGAATTATCTGATTTAATGTAAATGGAAAGCAATTGACATGAATTGAGCCGTCATGGTAAGATTAATTTTGCAGGTAAGATATAATAATAAATAAGCAATTATTCATCTCACAGTCGCTTCGTCGTCGCCTGATGCCTCCTCTCAGTTCTATGTTGTTCTCACGCAACACTATCGCGAAAATGAGGTTAGATGAGCATGTTAATCGTTAAACAACAATGGTCCTCTTTGACACGACACTCCCGATTCTCAATCGGTTCCAGATTGCAGACCACTGTAGTACATTTACAACGTGTATGGAAAGAATATGTTTATAGCATGTATGCATGTACATTCCAGCAAACGAAAATGGATTGAAATGAATTGAAATGGATTCAAATTTTCAAAAATATTGATTCACGAATGTTAAAATGAATGCATTTTTCAATCCTGAATGCATTTTTATTCATTTATAGGAATTGCATGGAGCATCTTTATGCCTTTCAATCTAAAAATAATATTGGCTTTTTCTGTGCATTGTGAACTATTCAAAATTTTGAAAAGGAAATGCAGTTTTTCAATCGAGTTGCATTCAATTGAATCTAATTGAATCCAATTAAATCCAAAAAAAAGTCTTCGCTATTTAAAATACACATTCGGATAGAAAAAAATTTCAATCCATTTTAATCTATTCTCGTTTGCTGAGATGTACACATCAAAACAGCAAAATCGCACATGACGAGGTGTCTTGATGCGTATTATCATTGTACTCCATCTATTTGTTGCAAATGTACTGTTAAGTTGTTGCGTCTGCAATCTGGCAATCCTGGCATCACTGAGTGCTTTCCATTTAGTGACACAAGTCAACACAAACATCAGTCAAACATTTTTTTTAACATTGCAGTAAATAACTAATAGCGTTTTCTCTTGGGATACACTGAGTATAACCTCACATTACATCAGTTGCATGTAAGTGTTGCACTACACATAAATGTACATACACCATGGTATACACTACTTCACACTATCGTGTTTAATTCTGCTGCTGATTGACTTCCATTTTCAAATTTTTAATGTCACACTACCTCCACACTGTCCTTTAAGATCGTGTAGCAAAACCCCACTTTGTGCATAAAATTTGCACTACACTATAGCCACGAAAACACATTACATTGAATGAGTTCGCCTACCATCAGCTAAGGAAACGCTACACTGAGTGTTGCACTGGTGGACGATAGTGCAGCCAAGAGAAAACGCTAATAAAATTGAAAGATACCTATAGACATTTGAGCCGATTTGTATCATCAA